AACAAGGATACGGTCAGAACTTCGATGGGTGGGCACATACCCGAACGTTGGAAGAGTTCAGTTTGTGAAGTTACAAACATTGTATGATTGTTGTTCTTGGTGTGCGGTACGATATGCAAGTTCTCCTCGGAACTTATTTGCGATGTCTGCCCACAAATGTTAAAAATAAGTCGGTTGATGAGGCCTCCATAGATGTACATAACTTTGCCTCGTTCAGCAAGAAAGCCTTAGACATAAAAACTAAGCTTGGGAGTGCCCAATAGGGACTGGCAGATGGAGGGAAGAAGAAGCTTCCTCAGGACTAGAGAAAGAAGGGCAACCTCGTGTTCGTTGACCACGACGGTCAAGCAACTGAGATGGGGAAGAAACAAAGATTAACGGGGGTGGAGAGACTTCAGATGGTGGAGTGATCGCTCCTGTAAAGGAAAAGACTAAGGGGGCCGAAAAACAGAAGGCAGGGCAGCCGAAGGGTTAATATGACCAAGGTACACCCATATGGGTAAAACTTGGACTAGAGTACGTGGTGTGGCGAGACCACGTTGCACGAGGCACTTGCTTGCACTGTGGCCAGTATGGTCACACCATGGCTAAGTGCAAACGTAAACGGATCGCCACGAAGGTCACGTCCTCAATAGTGATGGTCCGATCTTCAAACTTTGGTGGTGCTTCTGCGAGCACTTCGCAGGGAAACATCTTGGGCTAGTAGGAGTGTCAGCCGCTCTTACTCGTGTTGAAGTGGTAACTTTACCTTCTCCATTTCAGACGAAGGCCAAAGCTATTGACCCATTAATCGCCCGACAAATAGATTTAGACTAATCGATGCTCTGTTTGATGAATGTGTCTTAGAGGAGTTAGAAACCGAGTGGTTTGAGAAAGACCCTAGAGACTCCTGGAGGATGTTGAACAAAGGTCCAAAAGGTAAGCACTTCGTGGTAGAAGTCAATGTAGGTGGCCGGAAGGTTTGCGCCTTCGCAGACATAGGTTCTACGCGAAACTTTATCAGTCGTGCTTGTGTGGACAAGTTGCGCTTAGGGGACCAAGTGCAGTGGCTTGGCAGATATGTAGCATCCACCTTAGCCAACAAGCACTCTATGGTAGTAAAGGACTATGTCAATTAGGGGACCAAGTGCAGTGGCTTAGCAGATATGTAGCATCAACCTTAGCCAACAAGCACTCTATGGTAGTAAAGGACTATGTCAAGGACAAAGTCTGCACCTTCTCCTATGGAGGAGGGGAACTGAGACATAAAATCTCGTTCCTTGTTAGCGACGAGTTGTCATTCGATGTGTTACTAGGTATGTACTACCTCGAGGTTGCAAAGCCTCAATTCGATTGGGATAGGAAGGTGATGAGCCACAAGTTCCCAGATGGAAGGACCGTTAGGCTGCAAAAGTTTAAGGCTAGTAGACTAGTGGAGAACTATGGTTGCATGTACGTGTCGTCTTTTTATTACTACAAACAAAATCGCGAGGAAGGCATGTACTTAGTCTTTGTTTCTGAGAAAGGGGAGGCCGTAAAATCACCCCCATAGATGGAAGCAATCGTTGCACAATATTCAGATTTTTCAAGGAGCCTAGTC